TCGTCATTCAGTCACACTTCTAGCCACTGTTGGCACATACACTGTACAACTGTACATGTTATATTATTATATTATATTATATATATTATATACTATATATATACTATATATAATATACTTACTATAATCAATCAAGGTCTCTCCGTGTCTCTGACTCCCTCTGCCTCTCCTCCCTCCCCTCTCTCCGTGTCTCTGACTCCCTCTGCCTCTCCTCCCTCCCCTCTCTCCGTGTCTCTGACTCCCTCTGCCTCTCCTCCCTCCCCTCTCTCCGTGTCTCTGACTCCCTCTGCCTCTCCTCCCTCCCCTCTCTCGAACATCGAGATGCTGTGTCTCTGTCCGGGATGCCTGCAGTGCACTCATAGCTGTGAGCAGCCCCGTGGGTGTGCTCCCTGCATCGTCTAAACACTACTACAGATCAGATGATAACCAACTGGCAGCAGTTGCAAGGCATCGCCCGTATCTTGTTACAGGCTGTAAACGATGGGAAAGGCGGCAGGGACCGTACCGCGGGATTCATGCAATGCCACAAAACCCATACTCCCTACACAGATGATACAAGCACGCACACACACACGTACGAACGTGCGCACGTATGCGCATACGCACTACTATACTCCCTGACTATTAGGCGACCTATGAACCATGGAAGATATTTTCAGCAGTACCCATGATGTAGGATGATTGTGCGAATGTATATCAGCCATGCACACACGCACAGTGACGGCCACGACTTCTCTAACTTCTGTCTACCAGACACCGCACCCGTCGATTGTCCACAATCGATGAGAGCGAAGTTTTCGGAGGAGGAGAATGAGGAGGAGGAGGAGGAGGAGGCGAGCCAGCTGCGGAGATGCGCTATCCAGAGCAAGCTTAATGCCTTAATCTCACGCGCTCAACCCAAACCACAAGCAGCGGGCAGAGTGCGCTGAGTTCAATGCTCCCGCTACTGCAGTAGAATAGTAAGAAATTGCTAAAACCCTCCAATCAGCACAAGAGTGGCACCGAAGGCCTTACACGAAAGACTGCAGATATATTCACGTAGCAGCGAAAAACGTTGGACCCGTGAACAGTAAGGAGGAAACAAAATCTCAATATCACACGGTGAATATACATGTAGTGCATTTATATACGTGCTTCATGATTGATAAATATAATCGAGTCACGCACTCCCACATTCACTTTATTACATTTACCACATGTATATATTTCGGAGATTTAAACCACAGTGGTGTTTTATACTAACCAACGTGTCAGACAATTCAGTACGCCATATATGCGCTATAACTTCGTATTTACACGGATATATGTGAAAACATCTAAAAAAATCCTGATTCATGGCAAATAACTACTACAAATTGGTCACGCATGAATTTTCAGCTGCACAGCCTAATATTAGTAATAATAACGAATCGCTTAAACGGCATGTATCACATATATACCTACTGTGAGCTAGTCTATGTTGCGAAGATTCAGTAGAAGTAATTCGTACTTTCATGACATTTATTCAGCAAACCTAAACAGTCTTACGAAGCTAGTACTTTTAGTGTTTACACATCCGGGACATAGCCGAGTGATCGCAGTTTTCATTAACAGTTCTTTTCTATGATAGTTGTAACTGATTATTCGATGTTTGTTCAGTACAAAATTGTGAAATTTGTTTAAATCATGTGTTATCTACATTATGCAATCAGCAAACTAATAGTAAGTGTTTTCTTTCCAGGAACTATTTGCACTAGCGTAGGCGTACTGTTAGCGTTCTCAGTCACATCGATCCCTATGTGTATCTGTACGCCGAAACTCTGTCTGATGGAGTTTCACAATAGCATGGAAATAGTAAACTTCGGAGCACATTTCTGACTCAATAAGACATTTAATGATGTTTGCATACTGCAAGTATGCTTACAGTAGGTGTATGTAGGCTTTATGTAGTGAGGTTTATCCATTTTAAACATGTGTGGCCATGTACCTGTACATGTTTTAATAGTAATGCGAGTACAAGATAAAACTAACAATAAACATCTACAGTGAAGCTCGAAAGACTAGTCTTTGATCATATTATAGCAAAAAGATATCACACTAGCTACATGTAGCATAGTCGGACAACAATTGTGCAGTATTCTAATTCAACTAGCCCTCACCCATACGTCAGGTGTGGTCGCACGCCTGTCTCCCAGGGCGACAAAGAGCAATAATCGGCAACAATGACCTGATTCAACAGGGAGATAATATTTGCCAAAGGCGCCCATGGTCCCATACTCCCCCATAAATAGAGGGCCAGCTGGACAATGGCAGCTGTATTTCTAGCAATAAGGGAATTGCCTCTACATGTACAGTGTTCCTAGCTGCTGCACTCACACACTAGAAAACAATACTGTCAGGCCCGAAAAGGAAACAGCCCTAATTAAGACAAATTATTTATTGCTGATGGAAGTAGCCCAGCATAGGAACAGTGTGGCGCCTTCCCTGCAGTGCAGTATACTCAGCTCTAATGAGGAGAACAGCTGCAATTTGTAGCACGAGCAGATGTAGACTTTCATTTACAGCAGTACAGTGCACAAAGCTACCCTAAACTACACACAGACCTGTGACACACGGGTTAAATGTTCAATCAGCAAGCCGTGTCATGAATACATAATGAAATTAATCATTAATAACGCACGTACGATCTTTCAATTATTTCAATTTTAATTTATGACCCTCGATCTGTAACGATAGGGCTAGGATCCGGCTAGGGTTATGCCTAGGTTAAGGATTCCAACTTACAGATATAAGTAAGGCCATGGCGAGAGTCAAGTTTATATACAGTCTTAGGTTAGGGTCACTGTCAGGGTCAGTATGGCTCATAGGGTCTATGTCCCCCAGGGTATTGCCGAAACGTACCCTGGTCACTATTTGATATGGTTAGGGTTAGGATTAGGGTTAGGGTTCGGGTTAGGGTCAGGGAGTAGGCGTAGGCGACTCCCTATACTCGTTAGTGGAGTAGGCGAGGTACGGTCCGGCATATTAGATAGTACCAGGGTACGTTCCGGTAGTACCGCGGGGGACACAGACCCTCTCAGCGTCAGTAGGTGTAGGGTTGCAGAAAAGCCAAAAGGTGCAGTCCTGAGGGTTACCATGGAACGAGTCTCATACTCTGGACTGACGATGTACCCTATTGCCAGCTGCATTCGTTTTCGGTTATTATAACAATATACAGCCGATTCTACGATGCTTACCTAGATGGAGGGTCAAGTTGACAGAGTTGGGATGTTGGACTCCCTGGTAGATGGTCTCCGACTGCCAATAGGTCACGTTGCGGTTGTTGTTAAAGTCCGTCAGGTAGGCGGCAGGATGCGACCTGGTCGGGTCGCGGGCATCGCACCAGTGACACGAAGCGGGTTGCCCCGTATGGCCTGTCTGCAAGCAATACTCGATGCGGTTGTTGGCACCGCAAGTATTGGTCGCCTCCACCGGTCGCTGGAACGCCGCGTTAACGAACTCGGGAATGCACCTCTGCGGCCTTCCATCGGACAAATAGCACTCACTTTCTGGCCTCTGCGCCAAGGCATGCCTAGGTATACATCCTAAATAGATCACAAATACGAAGAAGATGAGATTCCGTCTGGACCTGAGCGAATAACAACCGTTAGAGGGGGATTTTGTATGACCCGACATCTCCCGCACCGCCATAGTTCTCGTCCCTGGCTCGCCGCTTTGCATTGTGGGTATCGTGTAGCGCCATCGGGTGACAATAAATGGGGTGAAACGAACACGTCGAACGAACGCGGCGAAACTAAATCATTATGCAGCCGGCTGAAAGGTGCGATAGGATATGTTTACTAGGCACTTCTAATTTTAACATATATTTTAAATTTAATTAGGGTCAGGGTTAGGGTTAGGGTTAGGGTTAGGGTTTTTGCATCATTCTTTAATATATCGTAAAATATATGTTAAAATTAGAAGTGCCTAGTAAACATATCCTATCGCACCTTTCAGCCGGCTGCGTAATGATGTACAGGACTTTGTAGACGGCGTTGATTACCTCATAATTATTAGTCTTCAGAGACCAAGGGACTATATCGAAGACGGAAAGACAGAAAGTTGATGAAATAGACAGATCAACACTCTGGATCGCAGTAAGCAAAGCCTCAAACGTACAAGTACGCCTAAGTAAAGATTAATGAAGAGAATTCCAATACGGAATATATATATGTGATAACATTCCATCCGTAGATCTCACGTAAAATATAGGAAGAAGATATATTGCATCAATGCATGTAAGGTCCCAGCTGCATATACCAGTTAGTACAAAATCTGGCTACGTTAGTGTATTAGCGCATGCGCAATATCTCGCCAGATGAGTCATATTTTGTGATAAATATGCATTTAATATGGTTAGGTAGTATCTCAGCATAGATTTCTGGAATTAATTGTTATCAGTGAACCTGTGTCTATAATTAGGAGAGCGCCCTAGCCTGCAGGGTGCAAAACTCCTACTTCATCTCCCCCGTCCTTTCCCATGTCCCTCGTTCAGCCTCCTTCTTCTTCTACCGACCCTAGCTATCTTCCCTGCTGCCTTTATTCCGTCCCCCACCCGTCCCTCTCCCTCAGCAGAGTATATTATGCAGTTGTTATCAGCCGTTCTACACGCCTGAAACGGTGCTCGCGCATGCGCAATATCTCCCGATCAGAATAATATTTTGCGAAACTTATGCATTTGAAATGGAGAGGAGGTATGCTAGCATAGATTTCAACGATAACATTTCATCGGTAGGCCTAACCTAAGAAATAAGAAGACCTTGCATGTTAAGGTGCCAGCTGCATATACCAGTTAGTACACAATCTGGCTACGTTAGTGTATTAGCGCATGCGCAATATCTCGCCAGAGGAGCTATATTTTGTGATGAATATGCATTTAATATGGTTAGGTAGTATCTCAGCATAGATTTCTGGAATTAATTGTTATCAGTGAACCTGTGTTTATAACTAGGAGAGCGCCCTAGCCTGTAGGATGCAAACCTCGTACTTCATCTTCCCCGTCCTTCCCCATGTCTTCCATGTCCCTCGTTCAGCCTCCTTCTTCTTCTACCGCCCCTAGCAATCTTGCCTGCTGCTTTTATTCAGTCTCCCACCCCTATATGCATTTATATACATGAATATGCATTTAATATGGTTAGGGGGTATCTTAGCATAGATTTATGTGATAGATTGTTATCAGTAGACCTGTTTATAATTTAGAGAGCGCCCTAGCCTGTAGGGTGCGAAACTTCTACCTTCCTCCGCTCCCATCCAGACATACATACAGGCACACACAGGGAGAGAGAGAGAGAGAGGGAGAGGAGAGAGACAGAGAGAGACAGAGAGAGACAGAGAGAAGGAGAGGAGAGAGATAGAGAGAGAGAGTAGCAGAACAGAGCAGAGACAGAGAGAAGGAAAGAGAAGAGAGATGAGAGAGAGAGAGAGAGAGAGAGAGAGAGAGAGAGGGCGCGGCAAGACGGAGATAAGAGCAAAGAAAAGGAGCAAAGAAAAGAAAAGGAGAGGGCAGGTCTGCGAGAATGAATGTGAAAACTGTACGTTGAATGTTAGTACGTGCTGTCTAGCAAGTTGAACTGTCTAGTAATTGTGATCATGCGTGCGTACGATCATGCTTCAAGCAAGATTCATGATTCATTTTTTGTCAATTAGAAATGGGCAGGACACATATAACCGGAATTTACATGTAAAAATGGGTCCGATGAACGAAATAGATTATACGTAGTCGGCAGTTTAAACGGGTAATATCCATCTATTTGCTTGTGTAAATTAATTTGTACTAAGTAAACTCACGAGTGTTATTTTGTGTCACAATTTTTAAAGAAACACGCTAGTACCTAAAGCCATATTAGCGCAGCTGCTTTCTTGCGTCAAAAATTTTACAAGTAACATTATGATCGAATACGTGACTATATTATTTATTGCACCATTTATTGATTATAATTTCTTCTATTACACACAATTTCTGCGCAAACGACTACTGTTCCACAACTAGCAAAAATCCATCAATGATTGAGATTTCAAAATCCAGAAAAACTACGAAACATTATCCTTACGAAGGTGTCTTACATAACATCTCTGTCCAATTCATTCATTTTTATATATTACCTGACCATTAGCTCACTTTTTGAATTCATTTTGTTGAGAAAGTGTACAACATTAACTGTAATTGTTATCAACCACTGCATATAGCATTTACGGTACGAGCTGTTCTAGAGTGTAAGACATATTACTTCTGGACGATTCTATTTAGACCATCTTGTTCTAGCATAAGATCAAAATTACAAAAGTAAATCTCATTCACATATTGGAATTTCAGTGCTTTCTCTGGTGTCTCTTCAACAACGTCGAACGTGTGAAATTTTCCCCGCAAATACCACAATGATAAGGTCTCTCTCCGGTGTGCATTCGTCGGTGCGTGATCAAATTACTAGACTTGGCAAACGCGGCGTCGCACCATTCGCATTTGTAAGGCTTCTCGCCTCGGTGACTGCGCAAGTGCGACTTCAGAGCACTGGGGAAGCTGAATGCCGAGGAGCACACGATGCACGGATAGCGTTTCTCGCGTGCGTGCACGAAACACTGGGCATTGAGGCAGGTTTTGCTTCGTCCCGACGCCTTGTTGCACGGCACACGTTGGGCGGCTAGCTGCTGCTGCTGCTGTTGCTGCTGCTGCTGCTGTTGCTGTTGATGCTGCTGCTGCTGCTGCTCACCAATGCTGTGACCAGGGGCGGCTATATTCGAACTCGTACTGGCGCGCTGAACTGTGGGTAGGGACGACTGACTGGCACCGAAATTCCTCCTCGCCCCACAGCCTAAATCGAGAGTGTTTGTCGCTCTGGGCCTATTCCTCAGTTTGACTACGGCGTGCGGCGCACTGCCCAGTGTTGTCCCCGGCGCTCTCTTCGTTACTGCGGGAATGATGCAGCCCGTCTTCTCTCGCTCCGAATGCTGGACCTGCCGCGCTATATGTGCGTCATTGGGCTGGTGATCTCTCCTTCTCGCATGCTGGGCCATGTTTTCGTCGACGGCAATGCCCCCATACTGCATCTCCAGTGGAATGCCGTGCATATTAAAAATGTCTTCGTTCGTCACGCCGGTATCCGACAGCGAGGGGTAGAAGTCCGTTTCGGCTCTAACTGAGCACAAGATGTCGTCCGAAACCGAACCGGGAACTTGTAAATGGTCGTTGAAGAATATCGTCGTCGCCAACGATTCGTCCACACTTGTCGCCGCATTGTCAATCTCGTCCATTGCTTCGACCTTGACGTTTACCAGTGGAACTTCTTCCGAAGGCCAACTGCTCGTGGCCGACGCCTCCGGCTGTACCCTCGCCGCTTCCCAATTAGCTCCAGCTCTCTGCACAGCAGCTGCCTCAACGACATGCTCGTATTTAGACGGGACACTTTCCGGCTGGACACTATCGACGGAGTTCGTGTTCTCCTCTGGGTCATGACCCTGGCACACTAACACTTTACAGTGAACCCTCTCTGCATGATCGAGAAATTTAGATAACGTGAAAAAGCACTCGCAGCACGAAGTGCACCTGTAGTACATTAGCACTTCACTAGACGGTGACATCTTGTATTTACAAGCGGTAAAGATGGAAGTTTATAGAATTTATTATTTACAACCAGTCTTGCAGAACAGTAGCCGGCAGAATAGTTGATCTCTCAGAAACGTTCCTACAAAATAAATATAACAAGCAGTGTTAACACGTGAAGCAATTAATTTATTCTTAAACGGCCTACACGTATGTAAAAGAGCATAAGAACGCCTCGCATTTTGCATTGTTATTTGCAACTCTGGATTAGCAAGACTGGATTATGTACCACGCATTTTAGCGATATTTCGTTCAGAAACTGCAGTCCTGAGTTCCTACAATGACTGATACAATGAATCATCCAACTAATACTGGTTCCTTGTCAAGTGCAATCGGTTCAATCTCTGCCCACACAACAACTGCTAAATAACAAAACCAATTTGAATTGAACAAAATATATACATATCGTGTGGTAATTTATTTTACTGAAGATATGCTATACGATTTACAAGCGTGCACAAGCAATGTTACAAGCAGGATTTTCACAAACTTTCTAATTTCAACAAAAAAAGCTAGTGCAAACAGCCTATAACAGCCCAAACAACTAACCTCTCTGATTTGATATTGATATTTACAGTCGAGTTTTGCGAGAAAAACGGGAAACTATGGCAAAAATTGCAGAAATTATTACTGTTATCTGTTATACATTAGTAATTTTAAGTTGAACACATTGTATGGTGGCTGTACAAAAATTAGCTATAGTATATTATTTACATGAGAAAACCAGGGCATAGTTCTGAGAGACCAAAAAACAAACATGTGGATAATTAAGAATTGCGCTGATAGGGTCTATGTCCCCCAGGGTACTATCGGAAGGTACCCTGGGTACGGTTCGATATATCGGAAAGTACCTCGGGGTACTATACAATATGTCGCTGCGTACCCTGCATTGTCCCACCGTATCCTGACTTTATATGGACGTATTTCCGATGTTGTAAAACTAAAATATAAAAGCTAGCTCTTCGTTTAAAAAAAAGGGGAAAAATATAGTCAAACATATTGCGGTGTTTTGAGGTTTCTTCTATGTGGCAACTTGACAGAGTGTATGTATTACGACATCAGTTGGCTGAAAGTCAGGGTACGGTGGGACAATGCAGGGTACGCAGCGACATATCGTATAGTACCCCGAGGTACTTTGCGATATATCGAACCGTACCCAGGTACCCCCGTACCCCCGTACTCCGATAGTACCCTGGGGGACATAGAGCCTATGAGCAAGAATTGCGTGAAAGTGCACAAAAATTATCCAGTAGTTTCGGTTCTAAAATAGTGAAAGTACATAACATTTTAACTGTCTTCAATGACACGTGTTATATTTTAGATGTGAACATAAACACCATAATAACATCAGGAGTGAATAATAGAGAAACTCTATTATTCACTCCTGGTAACATGTATCTTGAAACCCACCAAAACTTTACACTGGTCAATTTTTACCCTCAAAGCACTAAAAACAATATTTTAGTTGTGAAATATTTTGGCCAGCAAATACTAAACTAATACTCATCAATCTATCATACAAACAACCTCAGCAATTTCTACCTATGAATCATAAACAAGAGTGGATAATATATTATCAGGAGTTCATGATGTGGAGTTCTTCACTGATGCAAGATAATGGCCATCATCTGCTCTCGACACGCACACACACAATGGCACATAATCCTAACTAACCTACAGTGACAGTCAACTACTACTGGTAGAATTCAGTATGTCATCAGCGACACCTACAAGTTCCATAATACTCGAAAACTACAAACATCGTGTGATTATTCAATGCAGAGCTAACATTTGCACTATTTGCACATTTGGTACATTCAAAAGAGTACACTATAAAAGTCCACAAAAAACACCAGGACACATTAAATCATGACCACGATATTGACATCGTCTTAACACTGCCATACAATGGTTCACTCGCAGAATTTCAGAAGGCATGCCGTTTATGGATAGATCATAGATGGAAAAGGGCACGGATAGAGATTGCGCCAGTTGGAGTTCCATTTATGGGGACCATAATAGAGTAAACTCGATCATTTCAGAGAGACGTATACGTCAAGCTATAAAAACAGCATAACCGTTTAGGTTGTCAAATGTAAACACACTCGGAAATTTTCAGAGGGTTTATGAGATGTTGCAAATCAGGTTAAGCCTGGAAGGAATGTAAGACCTAACAAACATTAAAGGCCTGGAGAGACCCATGAAATCAGGCCATTGTCTGCCTTGTCTGCAGAGTAACCTGTACATAAATGCAACACAAATGACTAAAGGTTTGCATTTGCACTACAGTTTTGATGATGGGCAAAATATTGTACTAATTACTAGAAACAAAGATACCAATAGGAGAAAGATATTTGGGTTATAAAGGTTGGTAGCATTTTAAATGATTTCCTTCAAGACACACAATTTAATTGCTAATTGCATTAAATGAGTATGTTAAATCTAAGTAGACAAATAAAAGGGCCACAGTAGGTACTAGGCACTGCTACTAGTAACACCTCTCATACTTATTCCGAAATTATGACAATTCTTAATACAGTGATCAAGTCATGCATGCATACGAAACAATTTCATGCAAAAGAACTTTGACCCTGGGTTATTCATCTTTAAACTTGTAATTCCTCACCCGTAACTATTAGGCTAAAACTGGATAACAAACATAGCACGTATGATTCCTTTATCGATATTACCAATCGGACAATATGGCAAGGGTAGAAATTAACTTTTGAACAATCCGCGAGGCCATGCTCTGGAACGAACTAGTATAGCAGAATTTTCAGGGAGTCACACGGACTCCTGCATAATTTATGTCAAATCAGTGGGTCCGACAGTAAGTCAGGGAGTATTTGACTCCGGACTCGCGTTAATTTCGCACCCTGCTATGGTCATTACATGATGCTTAGTCGAATAAGAAATTAATGGGATATTTACATTAGGTCAATCACACGCAAAACCGATTCAGATGGGAGCAGCACCAGCAGGACCTGGGAGCAGCGCAGCCAGCGGATAATGTCCTTTAAGTCGCTGATGCCTTTTCAAGTTGTTCGACTGGTTGAAGGTGCTGCCGCACACCGCGCACACATATGGTCGCTCTCCCGTGTGAGTTCGCATATGACACGTGAGACCAGACTGCTGGCTAAACGCGGACGGACACACCGTGCATTTGTACGGTCGCTCTCCCGTGTGAACTCGCAGATGCAACACCAACGTTTCTTTCCGTTTGAAGATCTTGTGACAGAGAGGGCACTGCAGTGGCCTACGACGGTGCAGCCGCACATCTTGCGGAAGGTTCGCCTGGACGATGTGATCAAACTTGTTAGCAGAAGCAGTAGACGTCGCTAGCAGCGGAGAATGTTTCACACTTCCCCTTGACTCAGAGGAAAAATAGGATGGACTGGGCCGTGATGCTGCACTGGCACCAGAGCTGAGATACTGGTTTCTCAACTGGTGCTGGTTGTCTCTTATCGTGGAAGACGCTAGCGATGCCTGCACTTCACGTGTTGGCAGTGAGATCTCGTGGTTCCTTATGCCGACTGAGCAGGTGTATGGCATTTCCCTCTCAACTATATTCAACACGTCATCCTTATTCACGGCAGATAACTGATCAAAATAGGTGTTTGCGGAGCTTAGCAGGTCCTCTGATCTGCCATTTAGGGCTTGCATCACGCTGCTGGTATATTCACTCTGCTCGTAGCATGCATTCATGGTCGCTGCTCCATAGTTCGCCCCTGTAGATGGGCCTGCTGCACTCTCACTATCAGATTGATCATCAATCACTTCAAGTTTCACTATGACAGGTGAAACTTCTCCCCTTCCTCTTACTTCACCTCTTCCTCCTACTTCGCCTCTTCCTCCTCTTCCTCCTACTTCGCCTCCTCCTCCTCCTCCACTGCCTCTTCCTCCTCTTCCAGGAGGACAACTCTTGTCTGCTGAAGGTCGGTGTAACAATGTGGTAGGTTCATAGTCAATAATCATTTGATCTTGCACACTATCTTCTACCTTGGATGATGATGTCTGTGCTTCAGTGGATACAGCAGTAACCACAACAGTTTCTGTGTTCTCGTCAGGGTCATGCCCCTGACACACCAGTACTTTACAGTGAACTCTCTCGGCATGATTTAGAAATGCTGATCGAGTAAAAAAACACTCGCAGCATGAAGTGCACCTGAAGTACATTATCGTCTCACTAGATGGAGCCATATTATTAATTTCGAATAAATGACCAGCATAGAATTCAGTCCCTGTTTATGGCTTACTAATACTATCAATATGAACCTAATAACGCGATCTCAGTCAATTGGCGTCCACGATCAAACCATCTTGATATTACTTGAGTATATGATCCTAAAACATAAATATAACAAGCATCGTTAAATTACAATATTAAGCTCTGCAATTAGCTCTGGCGAATGAACACCTTTCACAGGCAGTGCAGATAAATGGCTATATTTTCGTAAAATAATATGTGATATTTTCATGCATTCGGTAGTCAGTTGTCCATGAGAATTTTGTTGACTGACAAGATGTTTCACGATTGTTTATAAATCTGTTTCTGACTATGATTGCTTCCATCCCACAGACCTTACGAATTCACATATTTTCTTCACGTATGTGTCACCCTTTAACTATGGTAAAGATATTGCAGGGCAATAAATACAGACAGATATTCAAATTTCATGTTATAACTTTGAAGGTACCAACCAACTCACTGCAGAATATAACTCAGGTAGTGTGTTACATCCTGCACACAACCTACCTAATAAACTACACCACTTGTTGACCTCATAACCTCATAAAGATTAGTCTTCTTAGTCCAAGGAATTATATCAAAGACAGAGAGGGACAAAGTTGAACACATAAATACACAGATCAACACTGCGGATCACAGTAGAAAAAGCTTCAATTTTGCAATTAACCAAACCGTAAGGTAGATAATTCCAATATGAAATGACAGAAACAATGACTACTGGCAAACTTAATTATCTACAAAAGTGTTAGGGATTTAATGTTAAGAGTAAAATAGTGATGTTAAAAATGTGTTCACGACGTAGTTTTAAGCAGACCGTGGGCAAACGGCCGGACATTTGATGATGAGTCATACATCCTATTTTGCAATCGTCTCTAAGGATGGTGCAATCTTATAACGTATTGTATTACTGTTCTACAATACCTATGCATAAATTAAAGAGAGTTATTCATCATCATGCTGCCGGATATGGTTTTAGCAGATGCGATGAATGCTGTTGACCACAAGAAACGATGGCAAAAATCTCTTTGTGCATGGTTGTGAAGTTATTAGTTAAAAATACGAAGTTAACACATTTTTCACCCGACTATTTTATTCTACTATAGAAGCCCCATCCATTTCTGCAGAAAATGTGGCTTCCAGGGGTGAAATTCGGCGGTGGCATAGTTTATTATGCAGGTTGTGTGCAGGATGTACCACACTACCATAAATCTCTACCTAGTATAGCTACGCAACCCTCTGCTCCATCATATGTGATTTTAGGCACTGCTTAGCTCTAGGACTATGGCCCGCGTACAGTTGCCGCAGGGCTATAGAACATTCTATGCCAGTTTTCCTAACTGCACCTGCTCCCCACTGCTTCCATGACAAATGGCTCACAAAACGCAAAATGATGAAGCTTTTTAACACTTATTTATCTACATGGACATCTCACCTATCTTTTTGAACACTTTGAGGCATAAATGCATAAATACATGGTGTAAAGTTGTGGAAAGTGTTCAAAGAGATAGGTGAGATGTCCATGTAGATAAATAAGTGTTAAAACGCCGATCATTTTGAGTTTTGTAAGCCATTTTTCGTGGAAGCAGTGGGGAGCAGGTGCAGTTAGGAAAACTGGCATAGAATGTTCTATAGCCCTGCAGCAACTGTACGCGGGCTATAGTCCTAGAGCTAGGCGTAGAAGCAGAAGTACTGGCAGCAGGTGGCTGGCGGATCAAAGGCCTACTAGTACTAGTACTTCACTACGACCCAATGATATAAGAGCTGTCCACATTTGCACATGTCGCACATTTCGAAAATGAATTGTGGTCAGCGCTTATATCCATGAACCCTTCACTACATCCACAGGTACTTGAAGTGTTTCAATAGAATATATACGCAGGGGTCGTGTGCTGTGCACGGCGACAGTTAAATATATAGCAGGTAAGAAAGCGTGCGCCAGAAATTCGCTCGACGCTTGCTGCAATTCACATGATTACAACACAAATAACCTTCCGACTCCATCTTTGCTGCTAATTGAAGAACAGTGTTCACTTGTTGTAGAAATATTATGTCTCAGTTCGAAACAGAGCTGTGTCACGCAAAATCACGAATGAAATCATGAAATTCTCGCGATCGCTAGCACTGCGCACGTTATGTTAATGAACTTAAGTACATGGCTAAAGGCGGCGCACTGCATTTTGGGAAACAACAATGCTGATTTCCGCCTCCCATGTGAGCCCCGTCAAAGCCGCCAGTGGGGCGTTGCTATAGATAACATAGAGCTCCGAAGTGATGACGTCACGGTGGCATGACAATGAACCCACTGGTTCTAAACAATCATATGCTCTGGTAACATTAACTGCGTGTCGTGTTTTATACCCGATTGTAACCATCATTCTGAGAGTCATTATTGCAGTTTTTATAGATTTCCAAAGGATGAAAGTGAAAAGCAACGAAAAAAATAAAAATAATAATAATAATTAAAAAATAAAATATACAAAAATATAAAAAAAATTTATTAATTAAATATTGTAAGATCGACTTGCTACCGATGCTTTACCGCTGTCTGCAGCGCACACACTCGTGTTTTACGTACGCACAACATTTTCACGCAGTTAATGCTATGGAGCCAGTGGGTTGTTTAGAACCAGTGGGTTCGTTGTCATGCCACCGTGACGTCACACTTCGGTACTCTATAGACGGCGCAAAAATGACGTCACGAATACGGCCGGTAGGGGTCTCCAGATTCCGAAATTCATTAACATCACGTGCGCAGTGCTAGCGATCGCGAGAATTTCATGATTTCATTCGTGATTTTGCGTGACACAGTTCTGTTTCGAACTGAGACATAATATGTCTACAACAAGTGAACACTGTTCTTCAATTAGCAGCAAAGATGGAGTCGGAAGGTTGAGTATTTGTGTTGTAATCATGTGAAATGCAGCAAGCGTCGAGCGAATTTCTGGCGCATGCTTTCTTACCTGCTATATATTTAACTGTCGCCGTGCACAGCACACGACACCTGCGTATATATTTTATTGAAACGCTTCAAGTGCCTGTGACTACATCCACAGCCAATGGCAATGATACTGCATTGAGCTGTAGCCAGTGTAGGCTGATCATTGTGAATCATTGTTTACTCTAATGATCAAATATCCAACTATTTAGAGACTCACCTGGAAAACATCTGAACTCTGTACCAGCGGTACATTTGTTTGATGTAACTGTGAGACAATTAGGACGCAAAGGAACAGTGTGGAACTTCTTTCCGCGTTGGGTTTGATCAAATTGATGTTTAGGGTGCCTTGTTTGTTTGTTCAGATCAGATATTTTCTTCGCCAGCTAGTTTGACGTTGTGCGCCACCTGTCGAGAAATATAATAAGCTAAATAGTATTTTTTTATTCATTTATTTAGGTAATTACCCATAGGCATATATACATACTGTTACAATAAACTTAAAATTCATGAAATTAAATACCTACTAAGGATATATACATTAAAAGTATGACTTGTACACTTATTTACATTGTGGTCCTTGCTACGATCAGCACTATCGAAATATACACATTGGTTTTTTACAATTGCTTTACTTTTTTATTATTTCTACATTTCTTATACACTATTTACAAGTAGATGCATTAGTGAAAATTTAGATATAATATAATCTTATCTAAATATGCCAGAAGCACATTGTGATCTATTTATTGTTGGGTTGATACTATTTTGACAACGGCGGGTAAATAGTACTAAATACAGGAAACTTTTCACAACGGTGATGTTAAATTTGACAATGGCGGTGCGCCACTGTGCCTCTTATGTATAAGTATCTTATGTATAAGAAGACGCCTTCATGGCTTGAAACCTTCGGTCAGTACGCATGCGCTGATCGACGTACCGAACCATCGCCTCTACTCCAAAATAGCCCAACTAAGAATGGGATAGGTGGGCCTAAATAAATATCTCCACATAATTGGACAAGATGATAGCCCCAACTGAAGAGTGTAGTGAGCCCGAGACAGTAGAACACTTTCTCTTGGATTGTGCCCGTTTTACAGAACAGAGAGAACGACTGTGCTACAGCACAGGGTCTTCGATCAACCTGTGCAGAGAGTGGTCCATCTCAGTGGCCATGTTGTTGGGTGTGTTGGAAGACGATCAGTACAAAGACATACGCGTCAAAATATGTGAGCTTCTGGGTGATTACATAGCACAGACATGTCGCCTCTAATAACGTCAGCGCCACCTATTACCCAGTAATACCCGTAATACCGTGAGACACTTACATAGTGTGACATTAACGTACTAAGCGACTACCATACCAAGAGAACACTACAGCTCTGTGGAGCTCAGTTCAAGGATTCAAGGAAACCCTGTATTGTGCATAACAAATATATCGAATTTTTCATTGTTTCATACATGTATTAAATCGCAATGAATTATATATTGTGGCTCTTAATTGTATGAAGGCTTGTCGATTGCATCGTCAACGTTGTAGATTTACAATGTACGTTTTAATCTACTGCCCAGCTTCATGTCAGTATCAACCAGATTCATTGTTAAAAAGTTATTTCAATACTACACCACATTATACTAATCATAAAGATGAACAACACCCACTATATTTATTCGTATTTTTATATACAATTAAAACAATAACTGACAACATTCTCAAACATGTACTGTAGCCTGTGGTATGCCAGGGGCCAGTTGTCAGAAGCATTGGACATATGTCTAAGATTCCATGACAACAGACCCTATACCCCATGCCCTATGGCCTGGCAACAGCAAAACAACTGCAGAACAATCCAGACTGAGAGTCAACAGTTTGCCCGTTCAATAGTTCAATAGTTGTTTTTCAATAGTTGTTATTGTGTAGAATAGGGTTTATCATTAAAGTCACAGGTTCATTTCTATAGCCTAACATGAACGACAATACACTAACATTGCGTAGGCTATTCCAGCATATTTTCCATCACTTCAGAAAATGTAGTAATGTAGACAACTAACAGCAAAGGATATAATAATTTACATTGTAATTATAGCATATGCTATAAGCTATGTGTTTTTTTAAACTACATTCTTCATGCATCTGCGTCTGTCTATACACATACTGCCAAGAGTATACGAATACAGATATGATAGAGATATGAATAGAGATGCATAGATTTACTCATGCACTCCTAATGCTACATCTAGCTCTGGATTAAAATGCTATTAAAAATGGCAAAGTTGTGCTTTGAAGACAATGTGAGATGCCAGGTTTGTGTTCACTCAGCTTCCATCCTCTCCATGTAAAGTCAATACAACAAGGTGATTTTGATCTACACGCTCTCTGACTCTTGACTCCAAAACAAATAGTTGATTCACAGCTAATTATGACTAGAATGAAATAATAACATGACATGCTCTAGACACCATAGCTGAGCTGTTCTCAGATGAAAGGCAAAGATTAATAACATGGTCACACAATCAGGCAGATTAAAGAATGCACTCTATCTGATAGATCCTGCCTAAATTTTACATGCAGTTGCTTTGTGTCTTTTCAAGTTACTAGGATGATTGAAAGCAGACCCACATGTACAAACATAAGGTTTCTCTCCCGTGTGAATTTTACGGTGAAATAATAAATTTGAGCATTTTGTGAATGCAGAGGAGCACACTGCACACTTAAATGGTTTCTCTCCCGTGTGAACTCTCCGATGGACGGCGAGACTGGAGCTGTGCTTGAACGCTGACGCGCACAATGTGCACTTATATGGCCTATCTTCAGTATGCATTCTTAAATGCCTTAAGAGCAGCTTTTGACCTTTTACAACTTTCTGGCATATTGGACAGGTAAATGCGGCACTCTTTACCACCGGATTACAACCACCCGTATGCTGCGCATATTCTTGCTGTGGCTGCTCGAACACACAAATAGAAGTGGAAGATTGAGCAAGCCTGTTGCTAGTAATAGACATCGACTGATCTGTAGCACTGCTTTGAGATTCAGTTGTCATAAGTAATCCACCATGAGCACTGGCGGCGTTCAGACTGGCAGTCGGATGCAAAAGTTTAGGATATATTTGTCTGTAGTTTTTATGACTAGCTCTCGAACTTGAAGGGTGATGATCAGTCTGTCGTGAGAGATCATTGCCTCCAGAAGTTGTTCTACAGTCATATGGCATTTTTCCGTCAACTAAACTTAGCACATCCTCTGTTGTCATGTACGTTGATAACGGGTTATAATATTTCCCATCCACCATAGGATTGATCATGTTCTCAGTGTTATGCGCCTGCATTTGATATTCACTTTCCTCATAGCATGCAGTCAAGGTCGCATCATTGTTCGCACCTGTAGTTTGACCTGCTGCACTCTCACTATCAGAGTGATCATCAATCACTTCAAGTTTCACAGTGACAGGTGGAACTTCTCCTTCTTCAGTAGAACACGTGTTCTCAACTATAGGCGGATCTAACAACGCTGCCGCTTCATAGGCAATGTTCAGTCTTTCCACAACATGGTCTTCTGGTTTAGGTAGTGCCTGGAAGTTTGTACCTATGTTGCCAACAATCTCATTTTCAGTGTTCTCTTCCGGGTCATGACCTTGACACACTAGTACTTTACAGTGAACTCTCTCGGCATGACTGAGAAATTCAGATAGATTGAAAAAGCACTCACAGCATGTTGTGCACCTATAGTATATCACCACGTCACTAGATGGAGCCATGGTATCACGGATAGAGACAATACCCAGTTTGCCAGTTGTTTTGGGATAAGATCCTGCAATAAAAAGTATGTTAAAATTATTGGAGGAATCTCAGCGACTTTGCTTATTGATTCATCAATACCTTAAGAATCTGATAAACTGAGTTTACACTATAAACTTTCTGTTGAAAAGTTGATGAGTTGATCAACTTTTTTACTAATTCAGTAATTGACCGAATCAACTGATGCACAGACTTTCCGTATATCAAGGAATGATGCAAAAACCCTAACCCTAACCCATAACGTATACCCTAACCCTAACCCTAACCCTAAGCCCTACCCTAACCCTAACACACTTCGTGATACCTAAGAGTATAACCTTAGGTATCACGAAGTGTGTTAGGGTTAGGGTTAGGGTTTTTGCATCATTCCTTGATATACGGAAAGTCTGTGCATCAGTTGATGATACACAGAAATCTGTGTATCACTTCGTGATACCTAAGGTGCCTTATGCCCGGCGCACACGTGAGTTATTTTACTCAAGTAAAATGACGCATGAGTCAAATTATTCGACGAAAAACCGCCGCAAACGTGAGTAAAATGACGCATGCGTCAAATTACTCAACGAAAATCCGCCGCACACGTGAGTAAAATGACTCATGCGTCAAATTACTCAACGAAAATCCGCCGCACATGTGAGTAAAATTACTCATGCGTCATTTTACTTGAGTAAAATAACTCACGTGTGCGCCGGGCTTAAAGTGGATTTGCGCCGTTCTTTAGCTCTAGTACTATAGCCCGCGTACAGTTAATGTAAGTGGGCTATAGTACTAGAGCTAGTAAACCGACCAAGCTCTCCGACTGTTACACGTCGTAGGACTAAGCGAACGTAGTGTTAACTTGTGGCTATAGTCTCGAGCTAGCTCCAAGAAACGGTATTGCTAGGGTTAGAATTGTGTATATTGTGTTAGAATGTGTCCTATATAGTATATTGACGTCAGTCACACCATAGATATAGAAGAAGATCGGTCTTTTTCTATATCTATGGTCACACTAGTCCGCAAATGCAGACGTTATAACTCCGCTTTGGTAATGTGAGGGTGCGGGTTACTGGGTTTTTGCCATTACTGGGGTCTGTGTCGGCTCTAGCCCGACCAGGCTGTGCGACGGATTGTCTATATTGTAACCCTAGCAATACCGTTTCTTGGAGCTATGTCGGCTCGGACTATGGTCACACAGCCTGGTCGGGTTAAAGTCTAGAGCTAGCACTAGCAGTTCCTAGTTGTTAATGTTATAATATAACTTATAAATATACTACTATCAGGATAAACCGACCAGGCTCTCCGACTGGTTACACGGCGGAGGACCTCGCCACGCTACGTCCTCTCGCCACGTAGTGTTAAGCGAGATGGGAACTTGTGGCTACTATCAGGAGTAAGTTAATATAGGATATAGATATAATAGGATATAATATAGGATATAGATCCTATATTATCTTACTCCTGCGGCGTTTTGTCTACATTTTTTATGCATGGGCTTGATTCGTTTGGATGGTTTCAGTACTGTGATTGTGAAATACGGCTGTACCTACGGGGCTGCCATATTGTTGCCAGTGTTGACGTAACTTATTCCCCTTATTTACACTAACAGTAACACTTTTTGACACGCACANTTCCATAGCTTATTCCCCTTATTTACACTAACACTAACACTTTTTGACACGCACACAATCTTACTGACGATAAAAAGCTTAGAACCTCAGCTTTTTACATGTATTAATAAAACAGCATTTATTCTGTATGAATAAACACTAATGAATAGATAAAAATAAATATTGAATACGGAAACGACCGAAAACAAGTTGAACGTAAACAGTTATTTAAAGGGACCTACTAAACAGCGAAATGTGCTACTAAACAGCGAAATGTGCT